CATTCCTGCACTTCACTGAAAATGATCACCAATATGCATTCAGAATTCTATTTTAGTAAAAGTACAAAAATCCTATCAAGGAAATGTACTTAAAGTATCAAAAATACTTGGCACCTGTGACTGATTTAATTATATTACATTACCAGATCACAGGTCACAGATCACAGATCACACTTCTTAGCCTCCCCAGGAAAGCCTATGCCAGGGTACTGGAGAGGAGAATTTGACCGATAGTTGAATCTCGGATTGAGGAGGAACAATGCGGTGTTCGTCCTGGCCGCGGAACAGTAGACCAGCTCTATATTCTCTTCAGGGTGGTGGAGGGTTCATTGGAGTTTGCCCAACCAGTCCACATGTGTTTCATGGATCTGGAGAAGGCATTCGACTGTGTCCCTTGCGGCGCCCTGTGGGGGGTGCTCCGGGGCCCTTTGCTAAGGGCTGTCCGATTCCTGTACGACCAGAGCAGGAGCTTGGTTCACATTGCCGGTAGTATGTCAGACTTGTTTCAGGTGCATGTTGGACTCCGGCGAGCTGTAAGGCAAAGCTCTCAACAAAGTAAGGCATCCTTACTTTGTAAAGTGTCCTGAGATGACTTTTGTTGTGATTTGGCGCTATACAAATAAGATTTGATTTGATTTGATTTACTGGTCAATCTATGTTCCGACTCTCACCTATGGTCATGAGCTTTGGGCCATGACCGAAAGGGCAAGATCCCGGATATAGGCCTCCGAAATGAGCTTCCTCCACACGGTGGCCGGGCGCTCCCTTAGAGATAGGGTGAGGAGCTCGGTCACCCGGGAGGAGCTCAGAGTAGAACCGCTGCTCCTCCACATCCAGAGGAGGCAGCTGAGGTGGCTCAGGCATCTGTTTTGGATGCCTCCTGGGCACCTTCCTGGGGAGGTGTTCTGGGCATGCTCCCACCGGGAGGAGGCCGCGGGGAAGACCCAGGACACTCTGGAGGCACCTTGTTTCTCGGCTGGCCTGGGAACACCCCGGCATTCCCCCGGAGGAGGTCTGGAGAGAGGGAAGTCTGGGCATCTTTGCTTAATCTGCTGCCCCCGTGACCCCGGGGAGACAATTACTTCTTTATTCAAAGTTTTAGCCATTCCTTAATTCAGTTACTGTATGACTTTGATCCTAATTCTAGTTCAATTCGAAAGAGGGTTTTGCATTACTTATTTTGAATTTGCTTTGACCTACTTCCTTGTTATTTAAGGATGGGCTCCTGCACAAGAATGCATTTGACCCCCTCGCTCAGCATAGAGACTGGTGTCCCTGGATCTCTGGGGGAAAGGAGAATGTGGATCCGGGGGCGATGCCTGTTTTGGATGCAGGCTCAGCACTTCAGCAGGGCTGGAAGGCTGCGCTCGACCTCCTCATACCCATGAAGAAGAATGCCAATACAATGGGAGGCAGTCCAGGACAGGCAAGTCAACATTTCTGAGGTTATGTTTCATAACAAAGATGATTAAAAGATGAACAACCACATTGTTACTTCCCAATTTATTAATGTGGTGAACTAAATGCATAATTTAATCTTGTGTATTTAGACTTATTTAAAGATCCTAACTTCAAATTTTTTTGGCTTACAACTTCACTTTATACCTTTTGTATAAAGAATATCTGACATTTTTCTTTACTCTTTCCTTGCAGAGTCCTCGTGACAAGTCTAAAAGGGTGTTTGCAATATTCCATCAGTGGCAGGTATCCTCCTCTCAGTCTCAGTAGAATGTTTCCATCCAAACAAAATCACAACACTGAATTGATGAACTGACCTGACTTCTTCTTGTTATAACAGCTTTGTCATATCAATGTGTGCTGTTCTTTAAAATTATGTTTACAGTCAGTGTTACTGGAGAGAAAGGAACTGATCATACCTTTTAGGAAAATGAGTGTGTTTTTTGTGAACAGTGAACTATTTAAAGGATGTCTGTGTGGCATTTGAATTCTGCTAAATGAAAATTGGGATGTGCAACTATTGAGGCCCATATTGGCCTTTCTTCATATGTATATACATAAGTAGCCATCAAGTAATAGAACACATCTCAATATATAAATTGACCACAAGCAAGGAATCTACTCTAAACCTCACAAGAAGTCCTCTTTGGTAATCCTTCGTCTGGCCTGGACTTCTGGAATACGAGAGTTGAGGAATCCTTGATAGTGGGAAATGGCCAAATGGCTCGACACTGGAATGGCGATGTTTACCTTCACGGTATGTTGAGTTATTTGTGGGAGTGGTAAACATTAACCTCAAATTATCAAAAAAACTGTGAGGATGATGTTTTTTCATGTGTACTTTTTTGCTTGAAAAGCAATGTAGATACAAGTTCTGTTTTGGAAAAAACCATATGGTTTTTGAGTAGTGAAATGTCTGTTTTCATTTAGTAAATGCTGAGACCCTGGTTATTGTAGGCAGGTACCATGCACCTGCTTTAAATGAGGTTTACGATGCTTGTACTGATTTTAAAATTTTTTTTTATTTTATTTTTTTATCTTCCGGCAACATGTCATTGCTAATGCAGTTCTCATTGTTCTGCATGTGCTTTTATCGTTGTAAAATTTCCTAAAAGGGTTTAATAAAATGCCCTTCTAAAAGGTTGTTTCACTTTGAATGTAGCTCCTATGAGATTTTGACTAAAAACTAAAGCTGACTTACACATTAACTAAATTATAATTTTAAAATACATTCAATACATTGAGGGTTGGCTCTTGTAAATATTTTAGTACCAACTGTTGCAGCTCACACAGTGACTTCTGAAGGAGTTTTTCTGCTTTTACATAAATATGACTTTCCTTTGAACACTCATTAGCAGCTGTTGCACAGTGTACAGCAAGTGTTTTATATAAATTATCATAACCCAAACGCCCGAAGGTACCATTTTCATCTGTACAAATAATACAACCCAAGTATAAATGCCATAGGACAATGCAGCCATCATACCGCTCCAGAAGGGGAAGCATTCTTTCTCCTAGCAATGAACGTACTTTGGTCCAGAAAGTTCAAATAAATCCCAGAACAACAGCAAAGGACCTTGTGAAGACACTGAAGGAAACGGGTATTAAAGCATCTGTATCCACAGTAAAATGAGTCCTATATTGACATAACTTGAAAGGCCTCTCAGCCAGGAAGAAGCCACTGCTGCAGGACTACCATTAAAAAAGCAGACTACAGTTTGTAGCTGCACTTGGGGACAAAGATCTTAATTTTTGGAGAAATGTCCTCTGGTCTGAATAAACAAAAATGATGTCTGGATTTATGTCTGGAGGCTAAAGAGGGAGCCTTGCAAGCCAAAGAACACTATCTCAACCATGAATTACAGGGGTGGCAGCATCATGCTGTGGGGGTGTTTTGCTGCAGGAGGGACTGGGGCACATCACATGAGGAAGGAAGATTATGCGGATATATTAAAGCAACATTTCAGGACATCAGCCACGAAGTTGAAGCTTAGACACAAATGCGTCTTCCAAAGAGACAATGTCCCCATGCATACTTAGAAAGTTGTGGCAAAATGGCTCAAGGACAACAAAGTCAAGATATTGGAGTGGAGTCAAGATATTTGGAGACTACCAGCCTCACAGGCTGGAATAGGCTGAGTGTACTGAAGTGTTATTTGATTTATTCAAATTTGTGTTAAATCTTAGTTAATGCAGCTTTAAAATGGATCTTCCTAAAGTCCATTGTCAACTCCACAGTTTTGAGCGTGTTCAGCTCCAGGTTGCTGCGACTAGACCACAGGACCAGCTGTTCAACCTCCCCTCTGTAGGCCGACTTGTCACCATCTCAGATGAGACTGATGAACATTGTTTCATCTGCAAACCTTAGGGGTTTAACAGATGGGTCCTCTGAGGTGCAGTCATTGGCCCTTGGGCAAGACACTGAACCCCCTGGTTGCCCCCGATGGTTAGAGCCATCGGTTGAGTTGCCACCGCAAATGGCTGCCATCGGTTCTGTACCGGAAACAAATTCCTTGTGTGTAACATACTTGGCCAATAAAGGTGATTATTATCCTTATCCTTAAAACAGCGGCAGGGGGAGCACACATCCCTGGGGGGGGGACACCTGTGCTGATAGTCTGGGTGCTGGATGTGGTTTTCCCCAGCCTCACCTGCTGCTTCCTTTCTGTCAGAAAGCAGGTGATCCACTGACAGGTGGGGGCAGGCATAGTGAGCTGGGTTAGTTTAGAGTGGAGGATGTCCGGGATGATGGTGTTGAACATTGAGCTGAAGAGGACCTGTGCATAGGTCCCTGGGGAGTCGAGGTGTTGCAGGATGCCATGCAGTGCCATGTTGACTGCATCATCCACTAACCTGTTTGCCCGGTAGACAAACTGCAGTGGGTCCGGCTGGGGGCCTATGATGTCCTCTAGGAGGGCCAACACCAGTCTCTCAAAGGCCTTCATAACTACAGTACATACAGTATGTCAGGGCGACAGGTCTGTAGTCAGTCTGCCAATGGAGGGTTTCTTGGGGACCAGGATGATGGTGGAGCAGTTGAAGCTGGAGGCGACTTCACACAGCTCCAGTGATCTGTTGGAAGATCTGTGTGAAGATGGGGTCTAGTTGATCAGCACAAGATTTCAGGCAGGAGGGGGTCACACCATCTGGGCCTGGCGCCTTTCTGATCTTTTGTTTTTATAAAGGCCATGCACATCCTTTTCACAAATCCTCAGGGTGGGGGGATGGGGGAAGGGAGGTGGTCATGAGGGGAGTAGCTGCTGGGTCTGAGGTGAGGGGTGTGGAGTTCTGCATCTAAAACCTACAGTAAAACACATTCAGGTCATCTGCCAGTTGAGTGTCTTCCACAGCAGGGAGGATGGTTTCCTGTAGCTGTTTTTCAGGCTTCTCCACACAGACAAGGGGTCACTGGCTGAAAAACTAGGTTTTCAGCTTTTCAGAGTAGCTCCTCTTTGCTACTCTGATCTCCCTACAAAGGGAATCTTTATGGATATATACCATAAAAACTCAGCATCTGAATGGTTTAAACGAAGAATTTCTATAAACACACAATGTTTTCTAAATATACCTGGACTCAGATATCTATCACTGTATGATTGGCTGTAGGCCCGATGTTTGTGGTGCATGCCTGAACCCATATATAGCATTGTTATATAGATAAACATTTTAAAATGTATTATTACTGACCTGTGGTAGAACTGTTTGTATACATTGTTTTTTGATGTAGTTAAGTTGGAGGACCGATTGTTGGCCTTTGCTTGAGAATGAAAATATTGCCACTTCTGCATGAGTCCTAGGAACCCAGCTTGCTTTTGTTATAATTAGTTAACCAGTTGCAGGATAATTATCTCAAGAGGATTCACCAATATGCCCCTGTTAAGTGTAAGATTGTGACACTGATGAAGGCTGGATGGCAGAAAATGTTTTGTCTTCTTGCAGAATAAAACAAATTCTTTTATTGAGTGTGATCCTACTTTCACATTTATTGGATTAGATTAAACTGAATCTAATCTAATATTGGGACAGTGCACCAATCCTTCCCGAGCGTGGTGGAACCTGCACCTAAAAGTTATGTCCTGATAGTTAACTTTTTTTTTCTGCTGAAGATTATAGTAGAAGACAGGCAAAGTCAAGACAAAGTTCATACAGAAATCGAATAATAGCCTATCTCGATAAGGCTACATTCTTTGTATGTCTTGATATTTCTAATTTTAAACTTCTAAATAGAAAGTAACAATGTAAGTGGTGTCAAGGGGCGCTTTAATATAATTTAATATGATTAATATTGTTATAATATGACTTAATATGATTCATATAATATTTAAGATACAAACCCAGAGATTCTCTAAATAAAACTACAAACATGACTATGCACGATGACGTTTTAGCGCACATATATGACGTTATCCGCGGAGGGATCCAAGCGGAATCATGGTCAGAACGCTGAGAGACAGTGAACAGTATAGGTCACAGAGGTAGCGTTAGCACCGTTACCCTTCGGACTGAGCGACTGAACCGTGAAGACGTTTTTGTTGTGATTTGTTCTCAAGGCAGATGGTAACTTTCGGATAATACCGTTTGCTAGACTGTCTAGCGTTTCGGGAGCTAGCTTTCAGCTTACTCACTGGTGTTCTGCAGTGGAAATAGCAAAAATGTCGTCTCCAAGTCCGGGTAAAAGGCGAATGGATACCGATGTGGTGAAACTGTATCCTTTCTGAAGATAACGTTAAACAATACTCTCAGGCGCTGTTTAGTCAAGTATTTCCTGGTCTAATGTTGAACTGTGATATGAGCAAACCACATTTATTGATGCTGCTACTTTGTTTCGGTAACTCAAAGCAGTGGTTCTTTCATTGTGAATAACTGATGTTTCGTGTAAACAACATTTTGCTAGCAAAGCCAAGTGTTAACGCTAGCTATTTCTGTCATGCGAACCTAAAGTCGCTTATCGGGACATCTGTATTGTTTGTATTGTATCTGTCTCATGTCCTATCAGCATTTTTCCAATACAATATTTTTGTAACAGAGACGTTAGCTAGCTAGCTGTCTAGATGGTTGTCTATATTTGAAAATTGCTGCCGAACATATGCTAGCATGTTTTTCTCTAACGAGAATGCGTTTCATCTTGACGCACCACAGATATATTTGGCAGTGATAGACTATAGTAAACAACTTGTGGCAGTTTAGTTTCTTTGTTCCGCCTGTTGTTTCTGTGGGGTTAAGTCAAACTGCCTCTTTACATGTTGACATAGGAGGTTGTTTACATAACGTAAGGCTAACATCAACTGAAAATGCTTCTGTCTTTTGTCCTGCCCATAAAACGTTAGCCTTATGGCAGCATATGTAGAATTGTGGTTCTAATTAGCGTTTCTTTTTAACAATACAGAGGGTTTTGTAACTGTCCTATTGAATCAGCCACTTGAAATGTTGCACTAACGCTCATGAGCTGGCTTGCTAATCTGCTGGTTAATTTCAACACCAAAATGGCCACCTGATCTGTGCGTCTCACTGTACTTCAGTCTCTACAGGCAAACATATAGATGACTAACTTGTATTATTTTACACTAGTTATAATTTATTTTAGATATATAAGAACTGGAAGCAAGTGTTGTAGCTTTACAATGTCATAAGCCTGCAATCGTTTTCATTGTGTAATGTTTGAGTTTTTATGCAACATCTAGTGAGTTCTCTTTTCAAGTTGTTTAACCACGTTTTTTATACTGCTGTTTTATTTGTTCAGCCTCACCTGGTGCAGACAGAGCGACTCTAAATATGAACCATAACAACATGTTTCAAATTCATGCAATATCCTAGATGAACAGTATGAACAAGTAGTTTTTGTCTGAGCACAGTGGGAGCCAGCTTAATGATTGGATAGCTAGTTACTATCCAGAAACCACAAGAGGGAGGGGCTTAAAACAGCTGGTGGTATGGCAAGACGGCTTATATTCCAATATGGGGCTAGAATTGTGGTGATCAAAACAAAGCAAGAACAAGGAAAGCTGTTATCTCGATAGTTTGTTTTAGTATTTAAATAATTTGAAAAATGACTGTATTTTTGACTATTTAGCTTTTAAAGATCTAGCATTATCTTGTGCAATACTGATTCCACATTTTATAATAGGCTACAAGCTGGCTCATACCTCCACATTGGAGTCAGATCAGATCTATACATCTGAAACTGCACGTGGCAGTACTAGGTCAAGAGGCTACAGCTAGTCCATTTCAAGCTACATTTCTCTTTTTATTTTGGCAAGGTGCCTAAGGCATTTTGTTACATCTGCTAGCTAGCAACACTGCTTGCTTGAGCAAGTTTATGCTCCTCCCTCTCAACTCCAGTGTAGGCTATGGCAGCCATGAGAGATGGATGAAGCAGACAGAATAAGAATTGCAGAACACACACACACAGGCTTGCAGCAGTAGTGCACCCCCTCTCCTTCACCAACTTAACTGACAGGGAAGAGGAGGTGTACTGTATGCCACCTGCTCAGTTCCACGCAATGACCTTTGCGTGTTTTACGAAACTGTGGATGAGCAGCGGTCGGCAAGTGCTGTGGAAGACAGCTGTGTGTGTTTTAAACAGAGGTCTACACAACTAAGATTTACTGGCTTACATAGCACATGGATTCACAGCTGAACAAGGCTGCTTTTTTGAGCTGAAGTAGAGAGGACTGCAGGTTATCATTTGTGTCCCCAGAACAATGCTAGTAGTAACAACCTCCTCTATATCCCTGCGTCAACTCGTGGTGTAACCAAAACCTGAAACTCACACTGTGGAGTAGCTTCTTTATTATGGGCTGACACTGAGAGTCTCATGCATTAACTTGCTGCAGTTGCCAGAGAGCTGAGAATCTAGAGCAGAGGCCGTTAGGGAATATATGACAATGAATGTCAGAATGACCTCAGCATGGTGTATTGCTGGATTTAACCTTCGTCCTAAGCCAGGCCGGCGGACGGCAGCCTGCTTTTAGCACCAAATCTACAGTCATTGCTTGCATACCAGGCTGCTTCCTGAAAGTCAACTAGTCGAGAGACCTATCAGTTGACTGAGATTCCACTAGGACAAGCCACATAAAGGTGCAATTTGTACTTTGTTAGAAGTGTTTTCAAACTTCATCATCTGCATTTACCAGAGAAAAGACTGTCGCAACCATGTGGCTAGTTTTGCATAGGCTGTGTGTGTCCGGGTTGTTAAAGTGTAATGCACAGCCATGACCTGAGAGGGTCAGGATACGTCCTCAGTAATAAGCATATTATTGAAGTTATACATTTGGCTGTCACCAAAAACTGAAACATTTTGAGCTTCCTAAATACAGTATGAATACAGTTGTACAGGCGTACTTCATAAAGTGATCTCAAAGTTGAGATGGTATGTAAAATTAAAAATAAAAATAGTGATTTGTAAATTATCTGTATCCTTTATTACATTGGAAACAATACAGCAGCACATTATCTGATGTAATACCTCATCAATTTTATTCTTTGTTCAAAATAAACACTCTTCAATTCTGATGCCTGCAACACATTCCAAAATATTGTTGGAACGGCTGCATTTCAGGGCTAGTAATAAGGTAAGACAAGGAAATTATGATTCCATTTGAAACAGGTAATTGCAATCATGGTTTGGTACAAAAGTAGCATCTAGGAAACGCCGAGCCCTTTAGGAGCAAAGGTGGGGTGAGGACCGCCAGCTTGCCAACCTATGTGTGAGAAAATTTTTGAAATATTTAAAAACAATGTTCCTCAAAGAAAGATAGGAAGGGATTTGGATATGTCACCCTTTATGGTATATAACATAATTAAAAGATCCCAGGAATCTGTAGGGATTTCAGTGCATAGATCGGGTGAGATTGTGAGCTAAGATAAATGCCCGTGCTCTCCGGTCCCTCAGACCGGACTGCATCAAGAATCTCTTCTATAATCAATATAATCACCTGGGCTCAGGATTACTTGGGTACGCGTGTGTGTAACACTACAATATGTAGTTATATCCATAAATGTCACTTAAAACTGTACTGTGCCAGAAGCGCAGTCGACTGCTCTGGGCTCAAAAGCATCTGGGATGGAAATAATGTGCCGATGAGGTCAGTATATCAACTATGCACAGCCATTTTGAAGGTGAGGCATCCAGCAGAAAGTAGGGTGCAGACTGCAGGTCAGCAAGCTCTGTCACCTGAAGAACGAAGTTTGATGACTGACGTGCAGAGCAAATAGCCCTCATCACAAAAATAATAGACATGCTTTGCTTTGTCGATGGGGAGGGTTTTCAAAAGTTTGATGGTATTTGTTCAGCTGGGCTATATAATGCATGTGAGCTGCGCAGTTGTTTTACAAGTGCTGAAAAGGTGCCTCTGGCTGGCTGCTCCAGCATCATTGCTGGGCACAGCCCTTCTCTACTGGCAGTGTGGAGAGCCACGGCATCCATGCCCAGGCAGAGCATAGCCCCAGGCACATCCACAGTGACCCCCACTCCACAAGCAGAGCAAGGCCATTGATGGTTGGATCTTGAATGTTGGCCAATTCAAACTGGTGTTCAGTGGTGCGGCCAGCAACTGTCACTTTGAGCATGCTCTCTCCCCGCAGCTTCACACTCTTGCCACTCACGGTGAGGATGCAGCACTTGGTGGCCCTCAAACTCTGGGGTCTTAGCCCTTCTATCCCCAGTAGTGTCCCTGGGCACACCAGTGAGATGGTGGACCCCGTGTCCACCAAGGCATGGCATTTGATGCCATTTAGCTCACAGTCCAGGTATAATCTGTGTGTCCGGCCCAGACGATCTACCCACAGCTGCGACAGGTCAAGTGTGGATTTGTTGTTCAAGGGTGCTCTGGCTGTCACGATGCTGGTGCTGGGCAGTGGTTTGTGATGTGTCCCAGCTCGGTGGTGTAGGCATCCAGAGCCTCTGTCTCCCTGTGCCAGTGGCTACCCACATGCACAGAACAGTAACTCACAGCCTCTGCCCACCCTGATTCTCTCTCTCTCTCTCATTCTGTGTGTGTGTGTGTGTGTGTGTATATATATATATAATAGCCTTGAGTGGCAACACAACGTGTTTATTGTACAGTTCTTGCCTAAATGTATACCTAGATTTGCTACTCGCTCTGTCTCTGTTTTGGAACATGGTGTTCTTGAAGAAGAGTCATATTGTAGTGTGTCCTTTCTGAGCTCTTTACATTTAGATTGTGTGGGGGTGACTACACGTATGAAGAAGATAGTAGTGCTGTCATTTGCATGTATTTATCACTGGTCTACTCAATTTACAAAAGCTTTCAAGTTGTAAGCTGCTGGAATTTGAGCCCAGATAGATTATAGTGGACAAAGCCTATTGTGAATGCTAACACAAGATGACCTGTGGATTTTAATGCAGTGAATGGCATGGATAAGCAACTGTGTAGGAACTGTGCAACAGTTTATATAAAATCTCAAGAATAATCTGAAGAACATAAGAAATTAATTCATCAATGTGTAATTGTATGAAATTTCTGTCACAAAAATTATACTTGTTTATAAGACAAGGTAATTCATCATTTAGCCTCTCTTGCATGTCACCTAATAGATGAAAAAATTATTTAGAAATTTCAACTTTAATAAAATGCACACTATGTGATATGAAAGTCTTGGAATTGAATAATCAAAAATGTGTAGGCACTCTGCTAAAAGATGGAAGCAAACCAATGTATTTTTAACATCAAGGAAGAGTTTGAG